AATATATGTTTCACAAATAAAATTTTTATATGCAAAATTTAATTTGGAAAACTTTTACTTAATGTACTTAAAACAGTTTCATAGACAAAATTTTAAGTTATAAGCAGTTTCTTGAAATTTTTTAAAAAATTCTTTTGTTTTAGTTACACAACTGATCTTTTGTTTTTGTTTACATTACGCCTGATCTTAAATTTTAATTGGATAAAATTGGGAGTTGTTACAAATAAGACGCGTAACAGGCTGTTACAATTAGATTTATCCTATAGTAATAATAAAAGTAAAATGATTTTTATTTCTAATAAATTTTATCTTTAATAAATATTAATACTTTATAATTTAATTTTTTATTTAGATTTGCAAAAAAAATTAAAATTAAAAGTTAAAATCAAAATATTTTAGTTTTAAAAGTCTAAATTAAAATTAAAATCAAAATTAGTTAAAATTATATAATATTATATAATTTAAATAATTATAAAATATTTTTTTAGAAGTATTTGTTAGTGAATTTTACAATATCATCTGGCAACCACATTGTAAGGCAGTAGCAGAATGGGAACATACTAAAGACATAAAAAAACAAGATTTAAGGAAAAGGCCATTAGCATATCAACGCATTGCATACAAACGGATTCTAACTATACAAACAGAAGAGGGCACGTTTGACTTGGAAAAAAGGAAAATGTTGAAACATAATGAACAATGGTCAATAGCATTAGAAAAAACAAAACAATACATTAATCAATTTATTAGAGAAGGAAACAGGGTACTTTGGAAGGTATATAATAATACAAAATATACAAATATAATATAACCTTTCTTTTTTTTTTTATCTAGAGGGTTTTACTTAAGTCTTATGAAATAGTGATCCTATATAATTTAATAGCTACTATTGAAGAATATAGGTGAATTTCATAAGGTAATGGTAAGGCACAAAAGCAATTTTTTGGATAGGGAACTGGTTTTGAATTTTAATAAATTAGTTATATAACAGATGTTTTTTTATATTCTTACATATAATTAATAAACTTACAAATTGCACTACCTTGGCTAAAAAAAAAAAAAAAAANTTCTTACATATAATTAATAAACTTACAAATTGCACTACCTTGGCTAAAAAAAAAAAAAAAATAATTATAAAATAATAAAATTTTAAATTACAATAATTTATCAATATTAAATTTATTTGAATTAATATTAAAACTATAAATATATTATTTAAAATTTTAAATTCTTTTAATAAATAAATTAAATGATATAAAAATTATTAAAATCTAATCACTAAATACTAAAATTATAAATAAAATGTCTAAATATTTTAGTAAAAATAAAATAATTAATATAAATACTATTAGTATACTTTTATTCATTTTAATTAAAATTTTTAAATAAGTTATAAATTATTAAATTCTGATTATTAAATGTTAAAATATCCTTAAAATATCTTTATTATTAAATTTTAACCATTTTGATTTTTGAAAAGTATTTTAATAAATTTAATAAATATAAAACAAATTTATATCTATTAATTCATTTATCAAAGAAATCCTGTACCTTTTGTTATTCAAATAAATTCCATATGTATTTTATTAATAAATCATTTATCTATTTATAGTAAGTATATAAAAAACTCTTAATCTATGACTTTATAAGTAATTTAAACTATATTATTTTGTAAAAAAAAATAATTAGTATAATAATTATATTAAATTTAATATATAATGGAATATTATATAATTTTAAATTCAATAATTTTATATATAAATTATTTTATTTTATAAAAAAAAATATAAGTATTTTTATATAACAATATATATATATATATTTAAAAAATATTATTTTATAATTATAAAATATATTTTTATATAAAAAATAGGGATTAAAATTTGAACGCACCTGTGTTTTAAATGCATCCCTCTATTTTGGAAATTTTTATATAATAAAAATGCTGATCATTTTATCATGTGATACCGGCGAATTTCTGATTTTTTTGAATAAACACAATTTATACCTTATACACTTATAAATAAACTCATATTATATGTGTATTTTGCCTCCTCTACAACTTTACTTACTATGACAAAGGGGGTTTAAAACTTCATTTTTGACTTATACCATGGGAGTGCATTCAAATGCAGGTGCGTTTAAATTTTAAACCCTAAAAAATAAATAATATGAAATTTAATATTTTTTAAAAAAATAATTTTTTTTTAATTTAACAAAAAAGTTTTGATATTTATATAAATAATTAATAAAAAATAAAAGAAAATTTCTAAGTTTACACGGGATGTTTGTACACAGGTCATATAAATATAATTTTTAATAAACTAATTTTTTGTTTTTTAATTTGAAATTGAATGCTACCAACATTATACTCTTTTACTTTTTATTCTTATTATATTACAAATAAATATATATATTTTCACCTGCTCTGCAAGTTTACTTAAGACATTAAAGAAGGTTTTGAATGCCATTTTTAATCTACTAATATGACCTGTGTTTAAACACCCCGTGTATAAATAGAAATTGCCAAAATAAAAATATATAATTTTAAAATAAGCAATTTTTTAAAAATTATATTAAGTATAATTTAGTATACTTATAACACTTATAAGGTATATTTGCTGTTTGGATAGAGTGCAAATTATTTATTATAGGTTTGATTCTTATAATTTTTCCTTTAAATAAAAAGCATTGCTTTCTTTAAGTATAATAATAAAAATTCTAATATTTTTAAAAGAATTTTTCTAACTATCACCGGGATGATGATCACTGATGACTGAAATTATGACGATCGACTAGCATTAAAAAAATAGAGTGCTGGTAAAATTTGATAATTCTTTTTTAAATTTTATGTTATTTTTATATTTTCAATACTAAAATTTTTTTTTAATTTTCTTTAAATAAGCAAATATTTTTTGAATTTATTACAAATTTTTTTTATATAAATTTGTATTAAAAAATTTCTAATATTAAAAATTCAATATTTAAATTTAAACTGGTATTATAAGTTAAATTATAATAATTAAAAACCAATAAGAGATTATTTTATATATTTTAAATATATATGTTTTATTCTTAAAAAAATAATAAATACTGTAAATTATTAACAAATATTTGATTAGGGTAATATTTTTTTTTAAAAAAAATAGGATAGGATTTCTAACTTTAAATTTAGTATTAATGATTTCCAGAATATTGCATAATTATTTTTATTCTATAAATAAATGCACACCATCTTCAGTTAATTTTAAGTAACTAAAAAGATGACCTTTCATTAAGAAAGTAATCTGGATAAATCATATAATTAGAATTAATTATTAGGCAAAATTATTTATTAAATGGGAACGATAAGTATCAATGAGCTCATAATGATGAATTTCAAAATAACTAGGAAGTGGAGGATTTAATGTAACTATATCGGTTTAGACGCACCTATGAATTTTACATCAATTTAATTAGTTAAAAATTAAAAAAAAAAAGTTACGTGCTGTTACGTAACAATACATACATTTAGTCATAAATTGAATTGTTTGCGTACTTTTATATCCGGAAATTTTAATGAATTCTTACAATTTTAACCCTCTTTGTAATTTATAACTTCGATGTGATGACTAAAAAATAATCCAAATCTGGTTATTAACTTTGGCTATCTTTAAAATAACTTGTTTGAGGCTTTTTATTTTCCCATTTGGTTATATATGACTACTTTTTTTCTTTACAAATAAAATTAGAAATTTAATGTATATCGGACTCGAAATGATCAATCGGAAAACAATATGAATTTTCCTAGGGAAAAAAAAAGAATTCTTTTTTTTTAACCAAAATTAGTGAGATCCCGGATTTCTCACAAAGCCCCATTCTTATTATATAATAAAAGAAAAAAGTCACAAATACAATACCAAACTAAGCCAAACTAAGTCACATTTGTAAAATCATTTAATTCATACTAAGCCGGATTTTCTCCCCATTTGTAATTTTAAAAAAATAATTAGTTTAGAATCTAAACTGAAAACATTTTGGGCTTTAAATTCGATGATTCATACAAAAGTATACAAATTATATCAATGATACCATAAAAAAAAAATATGTACATAATCTTTTAGATCATCATATTGATGAATGAATGGGATGATCAAGTCGAAAGATTTATGCAGAATTTGTAAGTGAACGAGCTACATAAAAAATTGTTCTGAATATTCAAAGAGAAAAAATCAAAAGTAAGCGTTAAAATCATAATAAATGTGATTAAAAAATTCTTAGAATTTAATAAAAAAAAAGTATTATTTATAAGAAAAAAAACCCCCCAATTCACCATTCGGTCACACAATTGAATCACATGATTTTAGACGGTTTGATTGTCGATCGCAACCCTAATTACGAATTATCCATGTTCAATTATGGTCCCAGTCCACAATCAATCTAAAAATGAGAAGGGAACTTAAATATAAATATTTTTTAAAAAAATTGCATTCTCCAAAATGAAAATTCCATTTGGAAAATGGCCCACTAACTAAAATCGAATGATCATTTATGTCATTATTGTTCTAAAAAAAGGTTCAATTAAAGTTCAGAAATTTTTTCTCATTGTGTTTACAAATAAATACAAAAAGTCATGCGAACAAGATTATTTATGTGACACAACTCTTTTGGCACATTTTTGTAAATTTGTGCAATATTTACATATAACACTACATATTTTACCATTTAATGATTATATTATTTATCGTCATAAAAACATGAGATTGATAGAAAAAAAAAGGCAGTGGAGGCTTAGTATGATATATAAGGTGGCTTTGTTCCCGATATATTAAGCCATTTATGTTGTTAAATAATCGATTCATTAAATATATACTGATAAATCCATAAAGGGAAAAGATCAATCAAGATCAATCAAAGATCAATTAACAGTAAATTTAAAAAAATATACACTTATTCTAAAATTTCCTTTCATGTAGGCAAAAAGTAATAATAAATTTTATTTATTTATTTTTTTTTTTTTTACGTATCAATTTCATTTTAAAAATAAACTTAATCGAAAAAATCTTTCGCGTCTCTTCTACTAAATTCTCATAAAACGCGTAAAAAGTACAGGTAATATAGTTACATTTATAATAAGCTCCCGACTTTTATTTCAATTAGAACTTCCCAACCTTAATTTTTATAACATCGAATATAATAATAATAATAATATATATATTTTTTTTGTATATAAGCAAGTAGTGGGAAAATTATTAAAGGGTTATATTAATTTAAGCAAATATAGCACCAAGAATTACAGCTGCGAATGAAACTCCGACTTCGGCTTTAAGACTGTTTCCGGCTCCTGTTGCTGATTTGGCAGGTGTGCTTCCTGATGCTCCTGCTGGAGCAACTGATGTACCTGTTCCTCCACCTGGAGTAGGTGCGGCTGTTTTCGCTGGTGATGGTGCTGCTCCTTCTGGTGGTGGTCCTGCTGGTGCTCCTCCTGCTGGTGGTGCTCCTCCTGCTGGCGGAGCTACTTTACCCTTAGCATCACCTCCTGCATCTTTGGGTGCATCTTTGGGTGCATCTTTGGGTGCTCCTTTGGCTCCATCTTTAGGTGCTCCATCTTTGGGTGCTCCATCTTTGGGTGCTCCATCTTTGGGTGCTCCATCTTTAGGTGCTCCATCTTTGGGTGCTCCATCTTTAGGTGCTCCATCTGGTGGTGGTGCTCCTGGTGCTGGTGCTGGTGCTCCTGGTGCTCCTCCTGGTCCCCTATTATCACAATACAAGAAGTTTATTTTATCTATTCAGTCATTAAAATTTTTTTCTTTAGGAAAAAACTTACTGTGCAGCAACGCAGGCAATCAATACGGTGAGAACAATAAGAAGAAAGAAGATACGATTATTAAATTTCATTTTATAATTTGATGAAGGTTATCAGAAAAGAGATAATTGGAAAGAAAAGGAAAAAGGGCTCATATTTATTAGTTTTTTTTTTCGAATATTTGTTTATATCCATATTTCCTTTTTACGGAAACATCTCCGGGATACATTTTTGAAACGTTACACTTCATTTACTTGTTGGCGTTAAAATAACGCTTTTTGGCAAAAACTGGTGGCTATACTTGTGCGTTTTAAATTCATTTATTATACAATGGTATCATTACACAAAAAAATCGGGTCCAACAAAAAATATTCATATTTTATTTTTAGATTTTATTTAAATTTTTGTAGATCATTTTTAAGTTATTAATTAGTTTATATATATATATATTTGTTATAAATAAAAGGTTATCAAAATTAACGCCACTGAAATAATAAATTGTATTCTATATTTTTATGAAATGATTTTTTTATAATTTACCGTATATAACTTTAAAGACAAAAAGTGTACATGAATGCAACCGCATGGAGACATTCCCTCATCACTATGAGAGGTACTCACTAGGCAGTGTAGCAAAAATTATGATTGGAGTTGCGAATTGTGTCATGTGTATTTTAATAAACTAATAGGAAGCCGGTGTGTAATTTTCAAAAATAAATAGGAGAGAATTTGTGTTTCCGTGCAATTAGATTGTTTGACATTTTAGTATATACTGTTATATTGTGGGATTGTGGGATGACTATAGTTAATAATTCAATTCAGATATTCACAAATGAATATCAGACGATCAGAATCGGTTTAACACATAACTGGCCAACTTCAGATTTTATTATGTACTCCATAATTCAACATTGCATGTTTTGTCACCGTTAACAACTGAGAATATTAATTTGATGGTTATGCTAACGAATAAATGCTAGATTATGTTCGTAAAGATGTGATCAAATAGTCATCTATTTACCATTCGGAATTTCGGATAAAAAAAAAATTGACCCAAAACATTTGTGGAATTTATATTAAGAGAAAAAAATCTCTCGTTTTTTTTTTGATTTTTTCGTAAAACGCGGTATTAAAGAATTATCATATATCGATTTTTCAATTAATTAAATCACGATTTTACTTTGGCAATTAACCTTGCTTTGGAACTAAATGACCCAATAAAAAATCATAGAAATTGATCACACGTCATCGTTCGCTGTTTGTGGTATGATTGATGATGTTTCTGCTGGTGGTGGTGGTGCTGGATCTGGTGGTGGAGCGCCTTCTGCTGGTGGGCCAACTGCCTTGCCTTTAGCTTTAGGTTCCTCTCCTTTAGGTGCTTCTTTACCTTTAGGTGCTTTACCTTTGGGTGCTCTGGGTGCTTTCCCATCACCTCCCGGCTCCCGGTGGTGGTGCTCCTCCTGCTGGTGGTACTGGGTTCTCCTGGTCCCCTATTAGAGACGTATACTGTATTTATTTATTTATTTATTTATTTATCCATCAATCAACACAATGAGAACAATAAGAATAAAGATTATAATTTTATTGAATTTCATTTCTTATAATTTATGTCGGTTATAAAATGAAAAAAAGATCTCGTATTTATTAAAATTTTTTTATGTTTCTTTTTTTTTACGGAAACATCACTGGGACACATTTCGAAATAAAATAAACGGCTTGCAATGATATCGTTACATAAAAAATCAGGAAGGGGCTTGTTTTTTTATTTAATTTATTAGATATTTTTAGTCATAACAGATATTCATCCAAATAAAAATTTAAATTTAATTATATTTTGTTATAAATAATATGTTTGAAACGCCCACTTGAAATTTTGTAAATAACAAATTGCATATTAAGAGACTTAAATATTCAAATCATAATTTTATTTATTATTAAAAAAAGGGGGGTTTTGAAATAAAAGTAATCTCTAACCATAAAACAGCCAACCAGTTTTCTAATTCCAGAAAATGCTCAAATATTTATCTTAAAGATAATATCTAAAAATAAAACAAAAACAAAACAAGGTAAAAATAAACGCGACGACATTGGAAATTATTTTGAAGTCAGATAGCCAATATGTTAAAAAAAATGACCGCTTAGAATCGATATTCGTTAAATCGATTCCAGATAAAAAAACATACAAATGATCTTGTTAAAAAAAATTGTGAAAAATATGAAAAATAAAATTATGAAAATATCTGTTTCCAGTTAATCTAACTCCGCCGGTGGCCGATTGTCATTACTCTGGCCTGGTGGGACATCAAAGAAGAAAAAATAAAAAAAAACAAAGTAAATTTAGTCGCTTGGAGGAGACAATTCTTTACTAAGCAATGTAGCAGAAAATAGAATTTATAATAATACGCGGGAATCATACGTATTTTAGTAAACAAAAAATAAAGAGATTGACATTTTAATTATATGAGATACATATAAAGTGCATCACAAATAGGGATGTAAAATTTACCGTAATTTATAAATTTTATTGTTACGTTACGGTAATTTTCTATGTTACGTTACATTATGTTATTGTAACATAAAATTTTTTTTTAATCAAAATCTGAAGAAACAATAAATTCCAATAAAAAAATGATATAAATATAAATACTGTAATTCTAAATGAACAAAAATGCGACAAGATTGCAGGAATATGTTAAAACTTGTATGATAAGATCATAAAAAAAGTTGAATCCGAAACTGTAAAACATGATAATAAGCTACTTTTTTATTTGTTAATGTTCGTTATAAATTATAAACTTGGCCAAGATTAAGGTAATACTGGCTGAATTATCTTAATTCTGGTAAACATATCAATACATATCAATGTAATGGTGTTACATAGATTTCAGGCCGAAATTGATTTTATTATATGAATTAATTTTATCGTAATACGATTGATAAACTAAAGCGCGGGTATTAGGGAATTATTATATAAGAAAACAAGAGAAAATGAAAATACGAAAAAAAAAAAAATCCTTTTATTATTATTATTATTCACGCGATAAAGTTGAATTAAAATTAACAAATTATTATACTATTTTCCAACCCATAATTATTAACCAAAAAAAAAGATCTATTGTTTGGTAACTAAGTAAAATCTAATGTTCGAAATTTTTTTATTTCGATCACGACGCTATTATTATCTATTTTTAAACACAGTACAGATCATAGTATTTATAATGTCTATAATTACTACAAAGAAAAATATTATAGATGATAGAATTATTAATTAGTTTAAGCGAGGATAGCACCAAGAACGGCAATAGCAACGAATGAAACTCCAATTTCAGATTTAAGAGAATTTCCGGATCCTGTTGCTGTTGTTCCTGGTGATGATTTTGGTGCGGCAGCAGTCCCGCTTGATGTTGATGGTGTTGCTGCCGGTGGTGATGCCGAACCTGATGGTGTTACTCCTGGTGGACCTCCTGCTGGTGGAGTGCCTGGGGCAGCTTTTCCTGCATCGCCTGCTGGAGCTTTACCGCCAGCTGGAGCGCCTCCTGGTGCTGGAGCTGGAGCTTTTCCGCCTGGTGCTGGTGCTGGTGCTTTTCCCGCGTCACCTCCTGGTGCTGCTGGAGCTTTTCCGTCGCCTCCTGGTGCTGGTGCCCCTGGTACCCTATTATCACAAATATGAGGATTTATTTATTCAATCATTATTAATTTTTTTATTTATTATTTTTTTTTTTTCATGGGAAAAAAACTTACTGTGCAGCAACGCAGGCAATCAATACAATGAGAACAGCAAGAAGAAAGAGGATGCGTTTATTGAATTTCATTTTTTATAATTTTAAGTGGGTTAATGAACAGAGATGGTTGAAAAAAAGAAGAAAAAGGTCTCGTATTTATTAGATTTTTAACGGAAACTTCTCCGGGACACATTTGCCGGTTGGCGGTAAAAAAAGTAACGCTTTTTAGTAAAAACTGTATTAATCATTACACAAAAAAAATTAAGGGATATTTATTTTTAGATGTTTATTATTCTGAAATGAATTTTTTAAGCTAGATCATAAATAAAAATTTACCCGACGAAAATATTTGATATAAATAAAAGACCATAAAAAAAAGAAACTTTATTATAAACGAACGCCTATTGTTAAGGTTCGTAAATAATAATAAATTGCATATTATTAGATATTATTAGAAACCCAAGGATCAATATTAGAAATCTTGTAAATTTTAATTTAATTTATTTTTGACTTTTTTTTTCAGATTAATAAGATTAATTATATATAGCAAATTTTAAGTTGTTCAAAAAAAAATGATTGAAAAAATAAAAACTGTGAAAATGTCCTTTTCTAGCTAGTTTAATTCTGTTATTGGATTATGATTCATCCGGTTATCCATCCGGTTAATTTTTTGAATGAATATTACAAATAGATAAATCTTAAGAATTATTCGCCGCAGATGATTTTTATGATGCCATAATTGCATTTAACTATTACATTATTATGTTAAAGTTTCGGAAATTTATGATTATTCGGATCCTCAAAATTTCCAACGAGTTATTCTCTATTGTCCATAGAGTGCACAAAATTAAGTTTGAATATTCATTCGGATTAATATTATCCGTTTTTTTACCTTCTATTTGGGAAATAAAATACTTTTTTTTTCTTTACAGTTATATACAGTGTTTATATCCGAGTTTGTCCTATCCTGTTATATTGGCAGATATCCAGTATTAATAAGATATCGCATATAGATTATATGACCTAAAGGATATCCAGATATTATTGTATCTAATCAAACGGATGTTCTATTAGGCCTTCATAAATTCCTAATGCCGAACATACCTGCCAAAATTAACCGTAATTCCGGCAGAAATGGTATAATGCTAATATTCATACCAGAAAATCATTGAAATTAGAATTTACTTTTTATTAGTAATTTTATTATTGTGAGGAGCAAGTGACCGTTAAACATCCGCCAAAATGACGGATTTAACCAAAAAAATTTTTGGTGGTTATCCGGATATAAAAATTCTTAGCAGTAAACTTAACCGGATACAATCAAAATAATTATTACTAAAAAAACAATTGATCCAAGTGGTGGCGCGAACAAATTTTGGTGTGATCAAAATAATTATAAAACAATTGATCCAAGAGGTGACGCGAACAAATTTTGGAATTTACAGTAGATTAAGCGAAAAATTTTCGCGGTTTATCTTTATCTGTGTTAATGGTAAATTTTGTTGAATATTTTTGTTCAAAAGCTTAGGGCTTGGTTAAAAGGATTTCGATCAAAACACAGTTTAAGTCATTATGTTAATTTTATCACGTAATACGTTTTTAAACTTTAAAAAAAATTAAATCTTAACTTTCATAAGACGCAGTATTAGAGAATTATTCAAAAAAAAAATTTTCGTTGCAAATTATTATTATTATTCAAGCAAAAAAGGTTTAATTTTTTTATTTAATTTGACATTAACGCACGCTTCAACCCACCAAAAAAAACCTTATATATATTAATCTATTTTTTATTTTCCGTCACAGCAATATTATTAATTATTATTAAATATAAATATTATTTATAATTTCTATATAATTTTATAATAAAAATGTTCTTTTTGATGTTTTGATGATAAATTATTAATTAATTAAGCGAAGATAGCACCAAGAACGGCAATGGCAGCGAATGAAACTCCAGATGATTTAAGAGTATTTCCGGATGATGCTGCTGCTGCTCCTCCTGTTGATGATGTTTTTGGTGCGGAAGCAGCACTGTTTGGTGGTGGTGGTGGTGGTGTTGCTGTGCCTGCTGGTGTTACTCCTTTTGGACCTCCTGCTGGTGGAGCTCCTGCTGGAGCAGCACCTGGAGCAGCACCTGGAGCAGCACCTGGAGCTGGAGCACCACCTGGAGCAGCACCTGGAGCTTTTCCGTCAGCTGGAGCTTTTCCATCAGCTGGAGCTTTTCCATCAGCTGGGGCTTTTCCGTCAGCTGGGGCTTTTCCGTCAGCTGGACCTCACTATTAAAAAATTTATTATTATTTTTATGGAGCTTTTCATTAAAAAATTTATTATTATTTTTTTTTTTCAGGGAAAAAAAAAAACTTACTGTGCAGCAACACAGGCAATCAACAAAGTGAGAACAGCAAGAAGAAAGAAGGTACGTTTAGTGAATTTCATTTTTATTATTATAATATTATGTGGGTTTGTGAGTTAATGAATATGAATGATTGAAAAGAAGTGGAATGATTGAAAAAGAGAGGAAAAAAGGCTCGTATTTATTAGATTTTTTCTCTCAACCTATATTTCCTTTCTTGGAAGTGTTCCCGGGATACATTTTGAAACGTTACACTTCATTTAATGCTTGGCGTTTAAGGAACAAACGCTTTTAGCAAAAACTGGTTGGTATCATTACACGAATAAAATTAGGTTTATTTTTAGATATTTTATTATGAAATATGAATTTTACTCGACGCAAGTTTAATTAGTTAATATTTAATTTGTTAAGAATATAAGGCTATCAAAAAGCAACTTTACCATATATGAACTCCACTGAAATTAAATTGCATATTTATCGGCAATTGAGTTAGTAAAAAAATGGGTTTGTTGAAAAAATTTTTTAGATTTATAAATTTTTGATTATAGAAAATTTTTTTATCGCATGTAAAGGATAAAAAAGGATAAAAAGATAAAAATATAATCATGTTACTATATTGAAAAAATAAAATATCCATTTCTAGTTAGTAGTTACTCTGCTAATGGGCGATGCTAAATTTAAATGCCCCGTCACCCGAATACTTATTTTTTTGAGATACCCGAAGACTACATCTCAATGTAAAATCAAAATCTTTGTTCAAGTAGAGGGAAATTATAAACGGATTGAATTTGTCATCTATCTGAATTAATTTTAATCAATTTTAATTCCTCTTTATTATTATGTTAGGACAGGTCATAATTCTCGCAGTCGCTCCTATATGTAACATATAATCAAAAGGTGCCTAGTCATTCGAGCCGTCTAATTCGTCTAATTAGAATTACAAAGAAGAAAAATAAAAAAAAACAATCGTTCCAACACATATGCAAGATAAATATAACTGCATACCGTGACAATTCTTTCCTCCAAAGAGAGCACTAGGCAGTATAATACGTAATACACGAATGTACCATACTATATAAACTTATTGCCGTTTCGGTCATTCGATCATTTGACACAAATTTCCAAGCCACGCCGCCGATCACATACGAAACTTTTTTTTTTCTAATAAAGTATTTTTTAATCTTTTTTTTATGTTCCGATAAATAGACTCTATACACACTATATACTCCGAACTCGAAGTCTTTTTACTAGAAACAACTCAGTATATTTACTGCTTAACTTTGAGATCACACTTTAGATCACACTTTAGATCTTCGATCACACTTTCTTTGGGTTATTGAATAACGCCAAAATGGCACCGTAAGTAGTAATAAGAAATGCTTTTTGTCGTATTTAAAGACGATAATTGATATTTTCAAAGTTGTGTATCATATATTTATTTGTAAAAAATTGTTTTTAGGCGCTTAATACACTAATTATCATATTTTAATACATTTTAAAACTATAGACGGTAAAAACAAGTCAAGAAAGTAGTATTATTAGTTGTTTTATAGGTTTTGTATATGAATTATTTACTTGCTAATATTTTGTTAGCATGTAGTAATATTTATGTAATTTTGTATAGAAACTTTTTAATTAATCTATACAATTTATTAAATACAGCCAGACCTCCATAATTGCACACCCCTTGGGACCATATGCATAATTTTCAAAATAGTGCATTTAAAGAGGGTGTGCATTTATAGAGGTAAAATAATTAGAGATCATATAAGAACCAGAGGGTGCATTTAGAGAGGGTATACATAGTGGGTGCAATTATGGAGAGTGCAATTATAGAGGTCTGACTGTATTGTGTAGAATTATTATTATTTTAGCACTATTGAATAAAAATTATAAGAGAATCTAATATATTAGATATAAGGTAATAGATGATTTTATACTTAAAAATACTTGGATTTTAAATAGATCAAATAGATCATATTTTTAATTTTTTCGTTTATAATCTATTTTTCAGTTCTTACATTTGAATAAATTTATACAAATAATTAATTATTAATATTTCAATTAAATATAATAGTTTCCAACCTTTATTTGCTTTGGTTATTATGTCTGTACTGAAAATTTTAAAGCAGTATAAGAGCGCAGAGCGCGGCACGTTTAAGTTTATATACATACATCTGATTCTGAGATATATAATAAAGTAAACGCATATTGTTATCATGTGACTGGTTGTGTTTTTTTTGTGCTGCAATGATCGGTTAGGAGTAATAAAGATGACAATGGCCTAGTTAAAAAATAAACAAATAAATAAAAAGATAGTTTGTGTTTCTTTGCAATTAGAATGTTTGACTTTAGATATTCAATTTTTAAACAATGGTGCTTAACACCTTAGTATGTGTTTTCGCAAAAACTATGGCCTAAATTAAAGAAATTGTAACTTTTTTATACTGCAAATGTTAGCAAAAAATTTAATACATACATAATATGAATTTTAATTATTATATTATTAACTACTACTAATATTGTAGAATAAAACACCCACTGGTATGATTGGTATGATTTATAAATAATTTTTTATTTTATATTTGCATTAATGAGATAATATCGGAAAGGAAATCGACCACTTAGATTGGGACGAACAAATTTTGGGAATTTAGAGATCAAGCGTTTTCGCGTTGTTTTTTATTTTACTAATATTATTATTATTATTATTATTTATTTATCGTGCGGAATGTGGGTTATTAGAGGATTATAATATTAAGAAAAATAAAAAATGAAAAACCAAAAAAAAAAACGATTACAAATATCTATTACGCGAAGTAAGTTGGGATTTTTATTAGAAATTAACGCGTTTACTTTGGAAACTAATTATTATACTATTTTCCAACCCATAATTATTAATCAAAAAAGACCTTATTGTTTAAAAAGAGGAACTAAATCTAATAAAAATATAATATGAAATAATAAAAAACTATTTAAATTAATGTTCGGAATTTTGTTTTTGGTCGTATCACTATTATTATTTATTATTAAGCACGGTAAATATAATATAATAACTTTATAAAGTGTATATAATTATTACAAAAAAAAAAAATCTTTTTTTTTATGATGGTAAATTATTAAATCTAATTAATTAATTTAAGCGAAGATAGCTCCAAGAACGGCAATGGCAGCGAATGAATATCCAGATGATTTAAGAGAATTTCCGGATGATGCTGCTGCTTTGGCTGATGCTGATGGGGCTGCTCCTCCTGCTGGTGATGCTGCTGGTGTTTTTCCGTCAGCTGGGGCTGGTGCTTTTCCGTCTTTTGGAGCAGCACCTGGAGCTGGAGCAGCACCTCCTGGAGCAGCACCTGCTGGAGCTTTTCCGTCAGCTGGAGCTTTTCCGTCAGCTGGTGCTTTTCCGTCAGCTGGTGCTTTTCCGTCAGCTGGAGCTTTTCCGTCAGCTGGAGCTTTTCCGTCAGCTGGTGCTTTTCCGTCGGCTGGTGCTTTTCCGTCAGCTGGTGCTTTTCCGTCGGCTGGTGCTTTTCCGTCAGCTGGTGCTTTTCCGTCAGCTGGTGCTTTTCCGTCAGCTGGTGCTTTTCCGTCGGCTGGTGCTCCGTCAGCTGGTGCTTTTCCGTCGGCTGGTGCTCCGTCAGCTGGTGCTTTTCCGTCAGCTGGTGCTCCGTCAGCTGGTGCTTTTCCGTCAGCTGGTGCTCCGTCAGCTGGTCCTCTGTTATCATAAAAAAGAGTGATTTGATTAACAACTTCACCATATTATATTAATTATTCTTTTCTTGAATAATAATTGTGAAGGAAACTTACTGTGCAGCAACGTAGGTAACTAAAGCGAAGAAAATGGCGAGAATAATGAAGATGCGTTTATTCATTTTTATATATTATTATTATTAGATCTTAGAGGGGATTATTAATTTTATATTATTAACAAGGTTTTTTTTATTTTTTATTTATTATTGTAATGAAAGATTTAATTTTTTTTTGAACCTTGTTGGTGGTGATTGAGTTGAAGGAAAAATGGGCTGTATTTATTAGGATTTTTTTTGATCGTTTCACTTAATAAATTCATATAAAATATATATTGTTTGTTATTATTATTATTTATTTATTTTACCCGTATCTCTTTTACAGCCACTCTCAGCGATTATGTTTGAAACGCATAAATAGTACATAATAGTACAAAAATATATATATATATATATATATTACAATAAATTACTTATATCACTTTGCATATACTAATTTTAAGTGCATGGCTCAATCAGGGATTAATTGATATCAGCGATCATTATAAAAAAAAACTTACCGAGTATTTTAAAAAAAAAAATTTTTTTTTTTATTTATTTAAAAATAGGCTGGTTTTTTTTTTTGGAATACGGGTTTTGTACAAGGATACGCAATTTATATCAACGCCCAACCTTTTTTTTACAAATACAAAAGCAGTAAATATATTACTTGCATATCACCAACTTTTTATATATATTTATACATCAATGATACATAGTGTATCACCTTATGTTACAAATATTAATTTTATTTTTCACCCAATCAACGTTGAACTTTATAATCACCATCGCAGAACTTTCTCTAAAAAAGAGTTACCGATTCACACGCGAAAAAGGTTTCTAAGCCATTTTTTATATTAAATGTTTTTTTTTGGACATACGTTTTTTTAAACATTTTTTTACCGGCAATCTACTCGATTTATTAGTAGCAAACAAAATAATTGTAATTATTCATCACAATGTGTCACACAACCTAAAAAAAAGGATGATAATAGCAAATTCAATAAACGTTTGTTCTCTTTCGTTTCGACGTGTGCTTCGATATGTACTTGCGCGTGTGTTTTACATAAAGGAGTAACATGTGACAAAAAAAATTTGTGAGACCATCATGTAAGGGGAAGGGGAGAAGTAACCAAGGTACAGAAAAAAAAAATTTTTCCAAAAACAATATTGTTGACATTTATGTTTCACTTAATGGCGCCACGAGTTATGAAATGTAAAATAGATATGTTCTTCGAAATGAAATGAAATAACCGAGCTTTTATTTACACTTCTATAAAGGAAAAATAAGTTATTAGTTTATGGAATACCATATTTGGTAAAGATTATTTTTTTCTCCGACAATCAATAATAAAATTATATTTTTAATTATGTTCTATGTTAATCATTTATTATTATTCTCTGGTAAATGGAAACTTCTAATTGATTAACCGATTTTGGGTTCGGCCCTTCGGTTCATGCAGTCCAACACTTGGTCCAACCCTGGGAAAAGATTTGTATTTAATTTTGAACCTAAATTAGGTATCTGATCAAAAATTTACTTGATCAAATGTAACAAACAATTAAAAAAAAATTGGAGAACGTAATGGGCGAAAATTCTGACGTAAAACAAAAAGTTTATGAATAAATCTTATTAATAAGGAACAAAATGTAACAATTAAACTGGATTCATGCCGAGGTACAAAAAAAAAATTTAATCTTCAATAAGTTCATTGGTCATTATTTCACATTTTCGCCCTTCTTCCCCCCCTCATTATAGTACAATATGCAAACTAATTTAACACAGAATATACAAAACAAACGCACAAGGGAGTAGAGAAAAAAAAGAAAACATATGCGGGTGACAGCATTTAGTTATTTAGTACAAAAATGGAAATAAAGTTAAATATTTATTTTTTTTTTCAAGTGCTCGAAGACATATTTGGAAACTGTTATATATTAAATGCATATATTTATAAAAGACTTTCTTCTTTACGGTAACCTCAGAAAAAAAAAGAAAAGACAAATTGAACAAACAATAAACGAAAATATTTATGGGTCATCAATTCGGGTCACTATTATCACATAATGCATGACAAAATTAATATGGTATGACGGTATGACACACATGCTTATTTAGTTATACATTCTCCACAAGTTTTTTTGTCGTATAACCTTGTAACTCCGCGTTCGGATCAACAAAATTAAGTTCTCGTTTATTGTTATGTTTTTATAGTAACAAGGCAAATTTTTTCTTTTTTCTTTGCGGAAAACTTTTTATTGTTTTAAACTTACGGAAAAGAGAAAAATATCGGCTTTATCCGTCATTTAATGTTTATGGCAATAACTTCGTATGGAAATAAATTACATATAATCAGAAGACAAAAGTATTTGTGGTTTAGAGTGAGCGACCTTTTTTATCTATCATGCATAATCTGCTAAATAAACATATATGTACATTAGATTAGAGAGTTATGAATAAGAGGATTTTTTTTTCACGTTTGTCGATCTTTCATCTATCTGTAATCGGTTGTGTTATGTTACATTTTAGATGCAATAAGGTTCAACTAATAAAAGAAACACAAAAATTTGCAATAATAAGCACGACATTATAAATAACTAATTACAAATTAATTTGCAATTTGAAAATCCCTTAATAAGAAAAAGGAAACCTTAAGAAGTTACGCACAGGGATACTTTTTTTTTTCCTTCTAGACTCGAACAATTTTTTTCTAATCTGAAATCGGGTCCAAGTTCCCGTCTCATTCTCTCATTTGATTGGCTAATCGAGTCATTCAATTTACTTAATTTAACGTTCATTTCCATAGTAGTCATTTGATTTCCTTAAATCGTAATACCTTTCCATTATCAATCATCGGAATCTTAATCACTCGGAATCTTAAATCATTCGGAATTTCAATCTTTCGGAATTATTAAATAATTGAAACTTTAATCTTTTTATGCATGATATTCGGGGGTAAGATAAACTATTTTGAGTAATAATAGATTATGATTATGAAGATTATGTTTATCGCCAATAATCACAATATTCAATCTGTCTATTGTCTTTTTTGTCCTGATTTGTAGATTACCAATATATATGCGTCTTTGATTACAAATAGAAGGCGGAAAGTTCTTCGTATGTTTAAATTTATACCAAATAAAGAAACGTAATTTTTAATGCCCATGTATAGAATTTATAATTAATAACAAAATAAAAAAGAAAAATGATTTCTCTTATAGAATTCGATACTTTGGCAAGTTTAACTGGTCAATTATTATAATTTATAATTTACAGATTTTTTCGAAAAAAAAAAAAAGTTCTGTTTTTTTCGCAAACTTTTCCAAAATTTTTCTTTCTTACATGTAATAATAAATAATTCATTTGAGAGAATTTTTTTTTTTTTAGCACGTTGAAACTTAAAAGAATCTTATTATTAAAAAAAAATTTTATTACAAAAAAAAATAATTGTATGCAAAAAAAAGCAAACTTATGCAAGTCAAAAAATAAAAAGTTAACCCGCTCTTTTTAAAAAATTTTCGTAAAAAATGCTGTAAATTGTTTTTTTTTTTTTGAATCAATACAATTCTTGCTTAAATTAATTCATTGTTTTTTCTTCTTAATATTACAAAATCAAATTTCCCTATATGGGATTTCGATCACCCAACTGTTGAAAATTTTTCTTAAAAATCATGCAAAGTCATGTATATTAAATTAAATGTTTTGAATCTTTTTTTTTTTTCTATTTGGAAATCTTTTTTTTTTTTTGGGTCTTCCAATAAAATATTTCCCTGGTCTTTTTGAAAATAATGAAATAAATCGGTAAATTAATAATTCCTGGTAAATCGGCTCATTTCTTTGTATCTTCTCTCATCGGAACACGTGATATTTTGTTCTCTTTGTAAATTATCACGTGAATGTGAATAGCGAAATTTAAAATATAGTGATATTTGGTTTTATAATAATAATCGAGTGTCATCGATCGAAGAGATATTACCGCAAGCAAGTAGCGACATGACCATCTCAAAAGTCTCACAAACTAAGTTGCTATTAATTATATACCCAACTCAACTTTTCATCATATATCAAGAAATAAACATTTTTTTTTTTAAAAAAAAATTCTTTGCTATATTATATCAGAAACACGCTTAAAAACAATTAGCATTTACAGATGTTATTGTGATGTTAATTCTCGTCATCATTATTTACCAGAATCGTAGAAATTTTACCAAAATTTATGACAATGCTGAAATTGGGCAAATAATAATTATTTTTCTCGTTTTTATCTTACATTTCATCTTTCTGAGTTATATTCTCAAAATCTCAATATTAAGCCCGAATTATTTTGATTCTTGTGATGCGAAATAAACGAATGATTTATTCTTGTCACACATAGATCGATTTGGTTAATATGAAATATATACAAAACTAACTAACCTGAATTGAACAGGACTACATAAATAATGGTAGGGGGCGAAGCAGTTCGGATGATATTTTAACCACCATACCTAATAACTGTGTTATTATGCAGGCGTCCAAGATCATGTTCCATATGAAAAGCACAGTAAATATGTGATAATTAATCTATATGACGTAATGCGTCAAAATATCAAAGATATTTAATTTAAAAACAACATGATCCTATTTGGCTGCATAATAACATAATATACAGTATAAAGTATAATAATAATTTAAAAATAATCATTCGCTAATTTTAGAAGAAATTAAGCATCTTAATAAACGCGTAAAATTAATATAAAAAATATGGTAAATAAAAATCGTGCAATGTTTGTTATACTTAAATCTATCAAACCATTAGGAAAGATAAAGTATACCTGGTCCCGTCTAATACAGTCCCTCGATATACGGATATTCGATATATTAAAAACTTGATATACCAGTAAATTTTTACTCTCCCACTATGTGAGAGAATATATAAATATCGGTATAATTTTGATATAACAATATTTTTCAAAGGTTTTCGTATGAATCCTAACATATCGCAGTTTGCAGTTTGACGGTATATGTACCGTATATTTGCGGGCCATAGTACCCCGGGTATGTTACAAATTTCGAGGGTTGACCTTGTACTACCATGTCTATAACACAAAATTTTAATCTGTTATAATAACATATATTTCAAAAGCTTGTATAATAATCATATAATTCCTGGGCAAAATCTGATTCTCTAAATAATAAAATCAATAGAAAAAGTAACTTTTTTCATGTAAAAAAAGGGGAATACTATACATAGGGCCCACAATATATGGTATTATAGTATGTATTATACATAATATAAAAGTATGGTTATAAAAGATTTTTATTTGTTAAAAAGTATACAGTCAACCCTCTCTAAGTGCATTCTTTCTAAATGTATACATTATATATTTTTCTTTAATGCATCCTCTTATTCAGTTTCAAGTATATAAGATCATATAAAATATCTCTTTAAATACATATCTTTTTAAATACACATTTTTTCGAATTTTCATTATAGTTCTATTGTTCTAAAGGGATGCATTTAAAGAGTTGACTGTATAAACTTAAAAGTGAAACTGACTTTTTTTTCTTTATGTTTTATAATGTTATTTAGAATGCTTTATTGAAATTATATAAATAAAAGTTACTACAGCAATTTAAAAATACACAAATAGAAAAACCATTTATCATAAAAGACTATTGATTAAGGATAGATTAACAGTTAATAAACAAAAAAGTAAAACTGAATTTCTTTTATATTTTATATATTAGTATAGTATAATAATAAAAAAAGTTTTATAAGCCTAATAAAAATAAATTAAATATCAAATGTGATAAATTGAATTTCTTTAGTTAATAGACTTTTATTAATAATAAAATCAGCTTTTTCAAAATGGAATTTATATTTGAATTTTTATATATGGATTGATATAATGTAAAAGATTATTATTTAATTTATACTAGTATTATATACTAAAATTATTTAAAATTTTTGATTCAATTATTATAATAGTTAAAAAACTCTTAATATTATACTATATATTTATATATTAGTAAATAATAAATAATGAATTTATACTGAATTTATGGATTTTACTAATCAAATTACTAGTAACTAATAATATAAATCTATTTAAATTTAATGGTTTATTTAATTTAATGTATTATTTATGTTTTATACTATTACATATTTTATATATTTATAAAGTTTTACATAACAGAAATAAAGTTAATTACTTGTTTATTTAATTAGACTTTTTTTTTAAATAATATATTTTTAATAACAGGCATTTATAATTTTCTCAATTATTAAGTAAAATTTATTACAAAATCTAAATAAAAATTTTTTGCTTCTATAATAATTTATTATTATATAAACAATTATTAAAATTTTTGTAAGTTGACATTTATTAATAATTCACTTTACTTTTTTTCTTTGGTAATATTAGTTTACTTTATTACTCTACTAGTAATATACTTTTACTTTATTTTACTTGCAATTTTTACATTACTATATCATCAGAATTAAATAAATAAAATACTAGTATAAAATAAGTAAGGATGGGCCCGCAAATAATTTCCAAAATCCGCAATATTGCGGATTTTGGAGCTGAATTGCGGTTAGTAACCCGCAATTCCGCAATTCTGATTGGCTGATAATTAAATTTTTTTCTAATGATAATTTAATAAAAAACACACCGGTTTTATAAATATAAATTTAATCAAAAAAAATTTTTTAATAAATTTATTTATTTATTATTTATTAGAAACAATAAACCATAATTTCTGAAATGGCGCAACTGCACCAAAAACTAAATCAAACACAGACAACAATGGCGAACTTAATAATACTAATCAAAGTTCTGGGCTGGAATCTACAAAAAAAAGTGAAAGAACGTTAATAAACGTTCTTACATAAAAAAAACATAAAAAACCTTGCTTCCCCCTCTAAAAACACCTACCGGTCTTTATTTCCAAGTTCCAGGCCGGAATCTACAAAAAAAAAGAAGTAAAGAACGTTAATAAACGTTCTTACATAAAAAAATAAAAAAACCCCGCTCCCCCCNATCTTGGAATATGGATTATATACAGTATATTGAAATTAGATTATCTCTATGTTTATTAAATCTTAAATGTAAACCTTTTTACAAGCATATTAAACTTACAAATACTTCCCCTCTTCTCTAATTTGACTCCACGATTTACATCAAATTCCCTTTCTTCTTAATTATTTTTCATTTCATGTACAGTATTCATTTTTTTTTTTTTTTTGAAAAAAAAAAAAAATAAATAAGTTTTGTAGTATAACATAAACATTTTTAACCTTACAATTTTCTACTGTCATTTAGCCATGCAATGTTATGGTGAAAATCATAATTAATTTATGCTTATAGATTATTTGTCATATTAATTGGCGTTTACTATTATAAATCATTCTTTCATTCTTTATCAATAATGAAATAGAAAGGATCCTCAGAAAATTCGGAATGAGGTGAACTCTACAACTTTTCTTAACATTATTGTTATCGTCATATGAAACATATACTACTAAAACTTTACATGCGCATTATCAGTCACGTCACGTGCATTTTTCACGCATCAGTGTTTTGACTACGAACGCTTTTAATTTAACACATGTAAATAGTTTTAAATAATTCTGGCTATTCTTTGTTCTGCCACCTTAATGTTATTTGTACGCTTATTATTTTGATCTCGATATCGTTGTTAAGCCCTGATCTTAAACCTGATTGGTCCTTACACGCGCGCAAATATATGTACAATCTACTGTACTAGCTGACTAGCACATTACTCGATTAATTCATGACAAACTGATTGAAGAAGTGCATCGCCGCATTTTTTCTCTTCACTTCTCGACACAAGGAATTAATGATGTATGTATATACCTGTCTCTTATACACATCTCGGAATCTACAAAAAAAAGAAGTAAAAGAACGTTAATAAACGTTCTTACATAAAAAAAACAAAAAAAAAACCCCCTTCCGCTTCCCCCCCCTTAAAATACTCACTGGTCTCCATTTCCAAGTTCCAGGCCGGAATTTACAAAAAAAAGAACGGTGTTGTTTTTTTTAAAATGAAAAAAAAAAATTTAAAATTGCGTAATGCAATTCTTATTTGATTTGTACTATGCTATCCGATAATCTAATCCAGATCATTAACTATTAATATCAATAACCGTCGAATTAACTGGCCGGTATATTTTTTCTAAAAAATAAATGACTTTTTTTAAAAAATTTTATTAATGAAAAACCGAATTTTTTTTACTTTTAGTAATAAGAAGAAATCGGTTTCTTTATTAGTTAATTAAAAAAATTACATTTATTAAAAAAAATTGTTCTTTTTTTTGCGGGCAATCCGCAATTCCGCAAATAATCCGCAATTCCGCAATTAATTACGAAATTGCGGATCATTTGCGGAATTGCGGAAAAATTGCGGAATTGCGTCTAATTACGGATTGCGGAATTGCGGATATATAGACTTCAAAATCCGCAATATTCCGCAATACCGCATATCGCAAATATTCCGCAATTACTTATTTGCGGCACCATCTTTAAAAATAAGTAAATAAAATAAATTTAACAAATTAAGTAAATCAATAAATAAATTAATTTGTAATTCATCTAGTAAAAATCAGAGCAAATTATAAAAATTCCTATATAAAATTGAAGGAAGCAATTAAAAATATTATCTTATAATCTAGTAATTGGATTTCAATAAATCTTTAAACTATTTTATAATTTTTAATACCTTTTTTAAAATAAAAAAAAAGATATTCAAAATTGGACCAATATATTATGAGATAATTACAAAAAATTACTTTTGCAAAAAAAAAGCAGATTTGAAATTTGAAAGCTATTTAAATAATTTTTGACAATTATCTTACAATTTATTAATCCAATTTTAAATATTTTTTTTTTTTTTATTTTGAAAAGAACATAAAGAACATTGAAAATTACAAATTAACTTAAAAATTCATCAAAATCCAATTACTGAATTATGAGATAATGCTTTTAATTATTTTTTCCAATTTTTATATAATAATTTGCTCTGATTCTTAGGTGAATTGTAAATTAAGCAAATTTAATAAAATTGAAAAAATCAAAAAAAAAATTGAGTTGAGAAAATTTTTTAGTATAAATAGCCAATTAATAACTTTTTAAATAAATATTACTAGTGGTGGTTGTTATTATACCAGCATTAGGACAGAATTTCACAACATTTTTAATTCTACCCGGAAATCATTATAATTTTTCTAATAGCGGTTTGTCCAACCTTTTAAGCAAAAGATAAAAAAACTGAATGAAATAAGTATTGGTAAATTGTCCTAATTATAACATTATTACAACATTTACATAATTTTTTTGAAATGTTTAAATTAAAAAAATCCACTGCCACATATTATTTGGAGAAATTTTAATTTTAATTCTACACAAGATTTGTAACTGTGTCCTCAAATTTCGTAATTTATTTTAACAATAATTTTTGGCATGACAGATTATAAATAAGTATAAATATATTTTTTGTCAGTATGTATAGTATATTATACTTTCTTGACCTTGACCCTCCGACAACAAGATGTCGTTCACTCAGGACCTCGGACAATTATAATCAAGGTCATATCCCTTATGTTAAGAATTTTCAAAAATTTATTATTACCATCTTGAATTTATTTTAAAAGATATAAATGTAAAATTTTAATAAAATAGTTGCCTTCCTACTATTTATAACTTTGTAATTTAAAAAGTAATATTTAATAATATAGTTTTTTATTTTTTTGAATATTTCTATGTATACCGATAGTATATTTTTTTGCCAAATTTTGTCTTGTTACACGACTTTATCTCTAATTTTAATCAGTAAATTTGCATAATTTTGGTATCAAAAGATTCTTTCTTTAAAAGAACCATTTTTTTCTATATTATTTTATAATATTAACTTAATAAAATTATAAGATAAATAATGTATAAAGTTTAAAACATAGTCGGATATGACCTCAACTATAATCATCCGGGGTCCTGTTCACTCTCTAACATCTGTGATTTGATGTTGCGCAATGTACGAAATGCTATAACCAAACAAATCTGTTCATCCAGTTTTTCATTGACAGAAGAGAGGTAAAGAGAAGCAGCTTTCAACTTTAACTCAAACATGGCAAGTGGATCTGACTTGCTTTCAAAATCGTAGGTCTTCGATCTTTTAAATGGTTTACTTTTATATTTTTCAACCGGTGGAGTATTTAAAAAATTCCTCAAAAATTCGTGATCCATACTTTTACATTCTTCATTCCCCTTAGATGCTGTTGATGATGATAGTAATTGTTATCATTTTCACCCTGATCTCCTACTATTTAAGTATATTTGCTCTTTTAATTTTGAACTAACTGTGAGAAATATGTATATATAAGATTCAAATCATCTAGTTATAAAGAGTCTTCCTCCATTTTTTGAGCACGAGTCACTTCGTCATTCCAGAAGCTATATGTGTGTGGATCTGAATCTACGTTCTTTTCTGCTACCAACAATCCCTTGTTATTTATTATTTCGTTTATCTCATTTTCAATTTCAATACATAATGAATCTATTATACCTTTAACTCCAAAGTGAACTCCCATTTATTTCTTGATCAATTTTAGAAACACATTACGATCATAAGAGAAGGAGAAACACAATAAAGCATTTGTTTCGAAACTTCCCGTCTATACTCAATGAAATTTATACATAGTAATGATAATAAAACTTTTGATCTTTATATATAGGTAGCATCAAGAATTTTTTTTTTCCATTTAAAAGAGTAAAGATTACTCAAAATATGAAAGTAAGTTGCATAATGAATTCCGCTAATACTCTTTTTTCTAACATCACATCATATTTTAAGATCTTTCTTTATGAATTCAATCAATTCACGTTTATTTGTTACTTCGGTTTAAGATTTTTAAGTTGTTCTTGAAGCACTATTACAATATCCCACTAACTCAGATTTTCAAAGTTTTTTTTTTTTTTTATGATTTGAGCAAATCCATTGATCAGATTTTCGTGAAATCATAAGACCAAGTTAAAGTAAATTTCCATTCCAAAATCGATTCTTAAGCCTATTACAAATCATATAAAAAGTGAATGCTCACTGATCATTTTGATTTCTTCTATATATGCTGATCAAAATCATTGTTATATTAGATGTCCATGAAAATTTAGGTCATATTTCTCTTCAATCTTATTATATCGGCACATTAATAACTTCATTTGTCAAATTGGTGAAGTGATAATTTGACACAGCGCAGTATGACGAAAATATGTGCAATACAAATAATTTTAAAAATTACCATTCGATTGAATAATAAAAATAAAAGTGAGGTATACTTGGTTTTTGTTCTGGAACTTTTGCAGTAAAAGATGATTCGATCAACTATAGAAATTATATGCCGAATTATACAGTATTGCCTAAAAATCTGTGTACTCCTTCCCTCGAAAGCATTTCATTTATTTATGTTACAGCCTATTCCTTAATTCAGTAAAAAAAAAAATATTTATATATTTATATATAGTAATAATAAAAAAAAATAATTAAAAATAAAATTGGAAACGGAATTACCAAACTGTTTCTTAAGAGACCAAAAAAATTACTTTTTTATGCAATATTTATAAATTGCTTGCTCGGAACACTCTCATGTAAGACTTGTAAGCCCACCGCAAAATAACCACTCTGATACCTTATAAGATCAGGACTTGCGTGGCAACCGCGGAAAGAGATGCAATATCAGATACAGTGCAAACTGCAAAGTTTTTTACGCGTCGCCATTTTTAGATGGTGATCACCATATCACATGATACCATGTGCGTGACATCTCGTATTGACGACATTTAGACTTTATTAACTACTTCGCCGTCATAAAAATTCATATATTTCAACAAGTCAGACACCTTCACGGGCACAGATGCCCGCTGAAAGTATAAGAAATTTTTGACAAGCGGGTGTCAGCTTGAACTTCATACGAAAGCCCAGAATCAGTAGTAAGCTTCGTGAAAGAGCTATTTGAATATAATGATTCCACTGAATCTAGAAAATTGCTCGAGACTTGCGATCAAAATTTCCACGTTCAAGTTTTTCATCCCTATCAAGTAACTCAGCGAATTGGCAGAACTACTTGAAACAGTCGAGAGAAATCTTTTCATGTGAATTACACAAACGATCAACCTCCGAGTAGATATCGATTACAACCAAGATAATGCAAAAAATAAAAAGGAATTTTTTTTGGATCCGTCTCGAAACATTTAGCGATTTTAGAAGATTGTGACGGTTGATGAAACGGTTGTTTATATCCTTTATATTACACAGTTTCGTAAAGAAACTTACAAACAACCCCAAAAGTATCAAAATCAAAAAAAGTTAGTATGAAAACAGCAAATGTCATTTTATCAAGAAATATCTTAACTTTCTTACTTCGTTGAAAACACGGATTCTACAAAAGATCCTTTCGACTTTATAGTGAGAAGCGAATGAAGACATCAAGAGTCTTATGGAGATATTTTGGCATTGATTAATTTTCATATACAATAATTAGGCTCACCAAAATGAATTTTCGTCATATGTGTTTTGATCTAGCGGAATTTAACAAATAATGTTGAGACAACATCATGAGAGTGCCCAAGTGTCCAAGTGATAAAGTGATGAAGTGGATGAAAAATTTGTATCGAAACAACCTTGCTAAATTTGTATCGCTTTATAGTGTCATCAGGAAAATAACGTTTGATGGTGATCCAAATGAAACATATGATGATTAAAAGAATTAGAGCATTCACTTCATTGAAATAGGTATACGATAGTAACTGAACTTTCGTTCTGTTTATTGTATATATAATAAGCCATTTTTCTAAATGCGAATTTTTATGCTTTAATGGGATATAGGCACAGCTACTTAGATTCGTTTATAAAAATTATTTTTGGCGGAAAATACACATACACTTTACACCCTGAAATTTAATAAATTTAATAAAAGTGTAAGTGGTTTATTAAGGCCAGATTTAGCTGTGTAATTGGCAAAATTATGTAAAGTACTTCTTAAAGGAAAGAAGTCAATTAACAAGTTACTATAAAAAGGAGAACTTACAAATCTATTGACTTTTTAAATATGGGTATATATCTGTTATAATTATATTTGTTGTTTCTGCTATGTTTATTTACAAAATTCATTTGATATTATAGGAGGTACCATAGAATCATATGTTATTGATTCGACAAACGGCGAAATTAGCAATTGATAAAGGATCTTTTCCGTTGATTGTATTAATATTTTCCTATTTTGTAATGATAAGGTAATCAGAATCTTTAATATTAATTTATTTTTAATATAAATCTTTGTATAAATCACTTATTCTGTTCTTTCAAATTCCATCATTATTTTGTATTTGTAGCAATATGTTAGGGAAATCATAATGATTGTGAAAATCGTCCACCACCACCGGGTTCTTATACACTACTCGAAAAGATCGAAAATGTGAAATTTAAATGCAATCACGCCACAGCTCAAATTATTATTGAAACAAAGATTTTTGATATGAACTAGAATATTTAGCAAAGTAATTGATTGTTCACACTTATATGATTTTTTTCCCGGATGCATCACAGATATTGACATGATGACACAGTGTTTGGTATGACCTTCGCAAACATGGTTTAACCAAAGGTGATCGTCCCTGTCTTTTATTTCACAATCTCCATTATTTACATTTTTATATAAACAACTATGTGGAATTTTAAACTTGATTTTTAACATTATTAAATTCCGTATAATTGGATGGAAGTTATTATAAATTTTTTATTAATTTGAGCTATTTGAACTTATGAAAGAGGCGATGCTTTAAAGTAAATCTGTTATGAAAAGCTGAAATATAATAGCTATGAATAATCTTAGTAATGAGTATGAATTATATATAGTATATTATAATTAGATTACTTCTAATATTTTAATATTATAAAGTCTTAGATGGAAACATTTTTACAAGCATATTAAACTTAAAATACTTCCCAATCTCTTCCCTAATTAATCCATCATGCAAAAACCAAATCGGCATCGTTTTACAAAAGCAAGAATTTTCTTATTATATTATTAATTAACAATTATTTTTCATTTCATGTATTCATATAATAGCTATGAATAATCTTGGAATATGGATTATATACAGTATATTGAAATTAGATTATCTCTATGTTTATTAAATCTTAAATGTAAACCTTTTTACAAGCATATTAAACTTACAAATACTTCCCCTCTTCTCTAATTTGACTCCACGATTTACATCAAATTCCCTTTCTTCTTAATTATTTTTCATTTCATGTACAGTATTCATTTATTTTTTTTTTTTGAAAAAAAAAAAAAATAAATAAGTTTTGTAGTATAACATAAACATTTTTAACCTTACAATTTTCTACTGTCATTTAGCCATGCAATGTTATGGTGAAAATCATAATTAATTTATGCTTATAGATTATTTGTCATATTAATTGGCGTTTACTATTATAAATCATTCTTTCATTCTTTATCAATAATGAAATAGAAAGGATCCTCAGAAAATTCGGAATGAGGTGAACTCTACAACTTTTCTTAACATTATTGTTATCGTCATATGAAACATATACTACTAAAACTTTACATGCGCATTATCAGTCACGTCACGTGCATTTTTCACGCATCAGTGTTTTGACTACGAACGCTTTTAATTTAACACATGTAAATAGTTTTAAATAATTCTGGCTATTCTTTGTTCTGCCACCTTAATGTTATTTGTACGCTTATTATTTTGATCTCGATATCGTTGTTAAGCCCTGATCTTAAACCTGATTGGTCCTTACACGCGCGCAAATATATGTACAATCTACTGTACTAGCTGACTAGCACATTACTCGATTAATTCATGACAAACTGATTGAAGAAGTGCATCGCCGCATTTTTTCTCTTCACTTCTCGACACAAGGAATTAATGATGTATGTATATACTTTATAAAAATCACTATAAATTGTTAATCTGAACCCGGATAAATTCTTTTTTTCCAGATATCCGGATAGTTACGGAGTACGGACTTACGGCTTTACCTGCGATTTCGGATTTTTTAATGGGAAAATGCCTCCTATTTCAAGACAATTAAAAAAAAGCACGTGAAATACAAGTTCAAAATCAAAAGAAAATCTAAAAGATTCCCTTAAGGATGGCCTTAAAGAAATTCGTTCCCCAAAGAAAAAAAATCAAGAGAAGTTCTTTCAGAGATGCAAGAAAATCAATTAAATGAGATTCGGACATCACATCTCTTTGAAAAAATGTTTGGTAAATGAAATTTAAATATTTGTATACGAGATTAATACATTTTTTCAAAATTATGATATTACTTAATTATAAATATAGGTATCAAATTTACAAAAAATCTGTAATAGTAAAATTGCATGAGACTATACATATATTTGATTTTATTAGTCCATTGACCACGTCCTGCTTCTAATAATAAATATCCTTACAATATAATCTATTGTATACAAATAGTATACAAATATAAAATGATACATAATAAAATAATATAATGAAAATAATAAAAATAATTAAACTAACGAATTCTATATCAAAAATAAATAACAATCATTTCATAGGACGGAATGATCAACCAGTTACTGCACAATATCATAAATTCTTGTGCAACATCGAGATTCTTTGATTTGAAATTCATTTTTTTTTTAGAAGCTTGCTTCGCAAGAAATTCGTTACTAAATCATTTCAATTTCATATCTTATGTCATGTATTTATTTTCATTCCTTGTGAAGTTTTATTAAATAATTCCTAACATGCATTAAGTTTAGCGAAAATAATAAACAGGTCAAATAAAATTTCACGTAACTAGCAAACATATAGCAAATACTAGTAATTAAGCTTTATTTATTACACGATAAACAATTGATTTAAAACCGATTTGATATTTTCTTAATATGATAAAATAAAAAAAAACCCTATATTCTATATGCAAATCTCTAAACGAGCAAAATATCCGTCCGCTAAATTTATTATCACCGATGGACTAAATTTAGAATGTGACAATAAAATATTGTTAATTAAAATATTATTTTATCTATTATCATTTTTACTATCACTATTATCATCTTCAACATTATTATTTCTGACCAATGACGTCATTGCTTTTGTTCTTATCTTTTGTTTTAATTCTTGCTTAATATCTCGTAGAACATCTTGTTTCATTTGTTCAATAACATTTTCATCGATATATGATAAATTTCCTTGTCTAATATTTAAATAATTTCATTATCTTTTCCTAGTTCACGTGTCGTTCCTTCACTTCCTTGTTGAATATTATAATTTGGTAAATTTGGTGTAAATTCTTGTTCATGGTTCGAAATTATTACATTATTCAGTCCAGAAGTAAATTCTTTTTTTTTATTTTACACCTTCTTACTAAAAAAAAGCATAAACTAACTAGAAAAGTTAAAATTAAACCACCAAGTATCCCTCAGCAACTATCATTTTAAATTCTGTTGCTACCGTTGATTCTACTTCTGATACATTTGCTGCTACCGCTGTTGTTGTTGTGATTATTACGGTTTTAGTTGTTGCATATGTTGGTAGAGCTTGAGCTGGTAGAGCTGGACTGCCACTCTGTAATTACAATATATTCTTAGAGCATTTCCATGTATGATTCCATGATTCAACTTCTAAATGACACCTCACGCATTTGTTAGATTTAATCCCAACTTTCCTTTAGCTATAAAATATCATAAATTGGTAATGTTTAAAGGGTCTAAAGGCTCGTACTTTGTATCTAACTCGTTCGTTGAGAATTTATTAGTTGAAATTCCATTCTTAATTAATTTGAATGTAAGCGCCCATTCTATATTGTAACAGATACTCATAACAAAATAAATTTGTTAATTGATCTAGCATTAAGATCTCCACCTTATTAGCGATATATGTTGGATTTTTCGCCCCCCACTGTTCATAACAACTGTAAATAATGTTAATATTATTCCATTTTAAATTAAACTCATCTAGTATACTGTTCCATATTATCCATATATCTTCTAAATTAAGATATTCTTCATATAACTCTTTCTTCATATCTTCCATTTTAATATTATAATCTTCATCCTTATATTTAAATGACGTTAAGAAAAAAACCTGTAACTTTTTTTCTTCTATCAATTGCTTCGAAATTTTAATAACATATAATTTTGTAATCAATTTCTTTTCTAGATCATTATAGGGAATATGAACTTTTCATTAATTATAATTCATATAAATGTCACTTTTAAACTTTTGGTGCTATATGGGATATTCTCTCATTAAATTACATATATTTATAAATTTAATCGCTAAAGCCTAGCTATGAAATTACTTATTCTAGGCCTCTATAATTATAGATAAATCTGCTTTTGATACGTTTGTATCAAATGGAGTGGTCATCCACACATCATAATCCATTGACGAATAATTACAATTCAATGATGCCAATATCCATGGCGTTTGATAAAAAATATTATAATTAAATCGGTAGTATATAAATTAAAACAGATAAATTTGGACAATAAGAAAATGAATAAATACCAGTATTTATATTTACCCTTAGGTGGCACTTTCTTGGTGTACAGAAAGAATAATGTTATAATTGCAGGATTACAAGAATATATAATTGATAATGTTGATAGTCTGTTGCAAGTTAAATATTGTTTGGAACACCAGTTTGTTATATTTTTCCTAAAGTAAATGGTTTAACACACTTTAATGTTATATGTTGATATATTTAGGCAGTAGTGGAGTGCTACTCATTTAACACTATTCTTGTGACTGATAGAAAGATAGATGATTCTCCGATTATTATCAATGGTGGTTAATTCACAAACCATCATCTAAAAAAAAGAAACAAGTGAGTCTAAACAACATGAATGTTTGGGCAGCAAAACCTTGACACACAATTTATTTGTTGAAAACAGAGATAGATGTTCATAGTAAGCAGTCTAAGACCACATAACTGTGGCCACGATGAGCTTCTATGCTAGAGCTCTAAATCCAATGAAAATATATCCATGACAAGATATCACAGTGTTTGAGGCTGATAATTTGTTCCTCCTTTAGAAAAATAGACCTCACATGACCCGTGAGGAAGGTTCATAATTATTCCTCCTGTAAATGAATAGAACAATAGTCCTCACATCATTGTCATGCTATGGTGGTCTGGATTTTCCTTCTCAAACAGCATGAAATTTAAAGATAAATAGTACCTTAATTAAAACTGATCATTATGATTCTTCAAGTCCAACCAAAAAAAAGATTTTCAGAGCTAAAAGATGGTGAGATCTTTTGTTCGCCTCCTTCACTCGTTCTTAATTTCACTGTTTCGTCACTTCCTCCCCTCTTTGGTTGTTGGTGCCATATGAAGTGACGCCTGGGGAGAGTTGCGTAGCATAAAACCACAGGCTTGAAACGTTAGTTGGGTAAGCCCTGTAAAAAATCTGATCCGTGTTTTATCTTTCCATGTTTTTTCCGTGAATGTATCATTTTAATTATAGCCTTAAATCATGGAAATTTTCATCTCGCTAACACGGATATCCGTGAATGTATCATTTTCACGGAATTTTTACGGAATACACGGAGAAATAATGGAAATATTCGGATAAAAATTTTTTATAGGGAAGTTATTTGAAGTAGGACGTGGTATACTGTTTGTTTTAAATTTGTTTTTTTTATAATTAAGTATTTCAAAATTTTCCATATAATTTATACTATAGATTTAATTGTTAAACGTGTAAAATGCGAAACGCGTTAATCAAAAAATGAAGTCATTTCAGACCTATATGATAACTACTTAAAATTAGAAAAATTTACTAATTGCCCAAAGAGTGTCGTTATAGCGGGCAGCACTTGTACCATAATTTTTAATTAATAAATTTCACAATTACAAAAAAGCTTCAAGTACTTTTTTAATGTAAAACATATCCAATTATTGGCTCCCATTCCCTAAAATCAGTAAAACGCTTGCTTCAGCACTCTTAGAAGAAATTAGTACATGTATCATCAGTAAATTTTTGAAGAGCACCAAGTTATCCCCTCTAATGGATTTTATATCCCTAAACTATGGAAATTATCCAAGTTACTTATATATTTTGTTATTTTTTCGTAAATTTATCATATTTACGGAGTTTTTACAGAAATTACGGATAAAGTTTTTTACAGGCTATAAACTGATCAATAAAACATTAATGATTTTTAAATATGATGGCAAATGGTAAATCCGTAATATGAATTAAAATCTCGTTTTTTTTTATTTTTTTATAATATACTTAAGCAATTGAAAAACTTTGATACAAGAAATTTAATCTATGTAAAATTTGTAGTCAAATTAAAAGAAAGAAACAAATCAAAATTAATATAATGTAATATAATTTGGAGTAGTATTACATAACTTTCTCCTTGGGTGGATCGAAATTGTATAATGACGAAATATATATTCAGTTCTTTTGAGGTTGAGCTTTATATAATTTGATACAATAAAAAATATTATATCTCTTTTGCACAGAAGATTAAAACCAATATAACATTATTTATATTTAACAGAAATTTGAATAGAAATCTAACTGTTGTAGCGGCAAAGATTAGTCCAATAGCTTGCCTATATATATGTTACTGCAATCTCATTTATGTCACTCATAATTTATACTTTACGCTTCAGAAATAAAATAATTTCTTTTCACACAAAGTGAACTCATCTACAGAGGAAAATGATGAAAAGCTAGTAGAGTATATTAGTATATTTAAAGTCACATTATCTTTATGAATATTAATTATTAAAGTATAATGTTCGGAAATTTTAATATGAAATTATTATTATAAATATTAAAAATATCCACGAGAAATTTTGAAATAATTGTCCATTTCATTATATTGGACTATAGCTCAGAAGATTACAATACAATATTCCACAAGCTTACTCTAATGGGCCGTTGGAACTTTTTATTTTATAGAATGTATTGTAATTAACAAAATTTTTTTGTAATAAAATTAAATAACGCCTTAAGAAAATTTTCTCATAGATCATTAAGAAACGGTTTATCAGCAGCAATTATATCATTTTTGGCCATATATTATAAAAATATATGCTGTATAGCTATAAATAATTTTAGAATTATTTTTAAAATGTTAAGAAAATTTCTAACCCTAAACCGGAGAAGGATACATCCACATGCATGGATGGTAACAAATGGCGTTAAAATGAAATACGTAACCTTTTTTAGTTTGATATATTTTCTTCTGTTCATACTTCATATCCATCCCAATATCTCAGTGTCATAAAATTCTGCAGATTCAAGTATAACTAACTTTATTCCCTTTTTATATAATACGCTTGATAAGTTTTGAAGATATCATCACTACATACAAAAATTGAAATGAGAATTTTTTTGATGATCGGTATACGATGTAAAATCGGAAAATTATAAATACTGCGCAAGTTTATTGTTAGCCCCGATCGACATTATGCTTTTTTCCTGAAACATTGTAACGGTAGAATATTCTAAAAATTCATTGTTTATCATATACTATTATATATTTTTTTTTTTTTAAAAAAAAAACAACCCCCTATTTTTTTTTTAATATTTTCGAGTTATAAAAAGTTTAAAAAAAAGAATAACGGACTAACAAAATTTTATTAAAAATGGGTTTAACATTTTTTATTTTCATTTTTTAAAATTTGTTACGAAACTGGTTTAAATAAATTTCAGGTACAAATCACCTGATCTGTAGATACTACATAAAAACTATAATTATGAAAAATTTTATTTTGAAATTCGTGATTTTTATAATTTTACTTCATTTTATACTTGAAGTAAACACTCAAGTTCCACCTGATGCCGGAACAACGCCTGCCGATGGAAAAGCACCTGCTGATGGTAAAGCGCCTGCGGATGGAAAAGCGCCTGTTGATGGAAAAGCACCGGCTGACGGAAAAGCGCCCGCTGATGGGAAAGCACCTGCTGATGGTAAAGCGCCTGCGGATGGAAAAGCGCCTGTTGATGGAAAAGCACCGGCTGACGGAAAAGCGCCCGCTGCACCTGCTGATGGGAAAGCTCCAGCCGATGGTAAAGCTCCAGCCGATGGAAAAGCTCCAGCTGATGGAAAAGCTCCAGCTGATGGAAAAGCACCTGATGATGGAAAAGCTCCAGCTGATGGAAAAGCGCCCGCTGATGGTAAAGCACCTGCTGATGGGAAAGCTCCAGCCGATGGTAAAGCTCCAGCCGATGGTAAAGCTCCAGCCGATGGAAAAGCTCCAGAAGATGGAAAAGCACCTGCTGATGGAAAAGCTCCAGCTGATGGAAAAGCCCCAGCTGATGGAAAAGCCCCAGCTGATGGAAAAGCCCCAGCTAATGGAAAAGCTCCAGCTGACGGTAAAGCACCTGCTGATGGAAAAGCCCCAGAAAATGGAAAAGCTCCAGAAGATGGTAAAGCTCCAGCTGACGGTAAAGCACCTGCTGATGGTAAAGCACCTGTTGATGGTAAAGCACCTGTTGATGGAAAAGCTCCAGCTGATGGAAAAGCGCCTGTTGATGGAAAAGCGCCTGCCGATGGAAAAGCTC